AAAAAAAAAAAAACCTTTACAATGTTTTTTTCACAAAAGTGAGAAGCTTGTAGGTGTCAGTAGTGAAAAAAACATCTTTGTGAAACCCTGCAGTATTGTAGGGGTGGTGGGGAGGGCTGGGCAGATGGGCCCTTTCCAGTTCAGGAACCTTGGTCCCGAGCAGAAATAAGATGCTGAGAGTTCCTCATCTTTCGCTGGCTGCCTCCCTGGTAGTTGGTGCCACGTCTCCAGAGGTGGTTTATAGTGGATTGTTTCACTGGAGGCTGGAAGTGGATGATGCACAGGTGACTTGGCAGGGTGTTAGGACCCTGCTGGAGTCCCTCAGTATGTGACAAGTACTTAAAGGCAGATGTCACTAGCCATGTTTTTTGTTGCATTAGGATTTGGACATTGGCTAGAGAGGTAGCAGCCAACATCTTTAACCAAGAGATGAGGAGCAGAGAGAGACAAAAGAAAAGGAAGAGCGTGTAGGAGGGAGAGGAAAGTCTGAGAGTCTGTTAGAGAGGGTTTAGAGAGATGGAGATGGAAAGAATGCATCAGAAAGAGATCAGCAGGCCAGGCGCAGTGGCTCACGCCTGTAATCCCAACACTTTGGTAGGCCAAGGCAGGTGGATGAACTGAGGTCGGGAGTTCAAGACTACCCTGGCCAACATGGTGAAACCCTATCTCTACTAAAAATACAAAAATTGCCTGGGCGTGGTAGCAGGTGCCTGTAATCCTAGCTACTCAGGAGGCTGAGGCAGGAGAATGGCTTGAACCCGGGAGGTGGAGATTGCAGTGAGTGGAGATCATGGCACCGCACTCCAGCCTAAGTGATAAAGCGAGATTCCATCTCAAAAAGTAAGAAAAGAAGGAAGGAAGACAGGAAGACAACACTTTGTAACATTTTATTTTCTACTTGTTGTAGTAATTGCTCTAGAAATAATGACAATATATTGGCCACATTGGTATTGTTCTGTGGTGAGCAGGCCTATGTAAACCTACACTCAAAGGCCAAGGGCACTGAGAGGCCAAAGAGGCTGACAAATCCAGTTTCTCAGAAAGAAACATTTAATGGGGACCTATGAACAGAAGCTATGTCTCCAGTGGCTGCAAGAGGGTAGAACCCACACCCATCCTCCAGAAAGTATCCTGGTTTTTTTCTGAGATAGAGTCTCACTGTGTCGCCCGGGCTGGAGTGCAATGGCTCGATCTCGGCTCACTGCAACCTCTGCCTCCCGGGATCATGCGATTCTTCTGCCTCAGCTTCCCGAGTAGCTGGGACTACAGGCGCGAGCCACCATGCCTGGCTAAATTTTTGTATTTTTAGTAGAGATGGGATTTCACTGTGTTGGCCAGGCTGGTCTCGAACTTCTGACCTCAAGTGATCCACCTGCCTCGGCCTCCCAAAGTGCTGGGATTACAGGCGTGAGCCACCGCGCCTGGCCGAAAGTATACTTTCTATAGCGAAGTAGCTTAGGCCATCTGCTGAGAAATCTGGGACACAGGCTAAAACATGAGCACCTGGCCATACTTCACACTTTCTTGTGGAAACTCCTGACCTCCGGAGAGATTAGATAAGGATCTTTATGAGACGTTATCTATGCTACGGGCAGTGTTTAAAGACCTTGTTGCAGAATGCTTTGGTATGCGGGAGTCAAACATCTGTCATCATAATGTTTTCCCTTCAAGATGAAATCACTCCAGCCATGCAGCAGGCTGTGTACCTACACTCCACTCCTCAGTACTGGTCCTCGCAATCTCACTTGCCCATCTGTTCCTTGATAGTCCCTGGATCTAGAGAGAGGGTGCTTGATATCATATAGCTGTAGCAGCAGCTCACTGGCTTCATTGGAGGAAGACGCTGCAGCAACAATAAAGGCAAAACCAGGATAATAAGCAACACAGGAGCACAGCACCTAAACCAAGAAGTAGCTTCTGCCACCAGGTGCCCCAGGACCAAGGCCAGTGATGAAGCCAGTAACAACTAAGGCATTCAAAATGGGGGTTCAGTCTGAGAAATTGGTCATTTATGTTATATATTCTCTCCAATCTTGTCCTTGGAAGGGAGATACCCACCACAGCATGCCACAAACACAGAAGAGTGGCATGAGGTTGGATATCCAACCAATATCTTTTTATTTTTATTTCGAGACGGAGTCTCGATCTGTCACCCAGGCTGGAGTGCAGTGGTGGGATCTCGGCTCACTGCAACCTCCACCTCCCAGGCTCAAGTGATTCTCCTGCCTCAGCTTCCTGAGTAGCTGGGATTATAGGTGCCTGCCACCACACCCTGCTAATTTTTGCATTTTTAGTAGAGATGAGGTTTCACCATGTTGGCCAGGCTGGTCTCGAACTCCTGAGCTCCAGTGATCCACCTGCCTCAGCATCCCACTGTGCCTGGCCCCAACAGATGTTTTTCTGTGAGCCAGCAGCATAGTCTTGGGCCCATAGGTGGCAACTGGTGATAGTACTGACAGAACATGACAATTAAGGATGAAAGGAAACAAACTTAGTGGGTACTTGCAAGGAAAGTTCTTCTCCATCTATTAGAATGACATCAGTCCATTCATTTAGAGTAGTTAGTATAGAGACAGCTCTTGGCTTTTGTAAAGGGAATGGGGCCATATGCCATCCATGTTGCCCAGGGGATGAAGTGTCAGAAGCTGTGGTTAAAGTAATTTGATTGAGAGTACACCATATTAGAGAGCTCACCTACCATGGGGTATGCGTGTTTCCCCTGACCATTTATAGCGAGTGATCGGGGGCCAGTATTCAATAAGATCAATGGGAACCATGCTAACTGTTGAGGATATTCCCCCCTCTCTGGCAGGAAATAGCCTATCCAGCCTAGGAGTATTTGCCATTCTAAGCCCCAGTACACTATCCGGATCCTCCCCTGGTAGAATGTCTGTCAGTATCTTCATGCAGAAAATATGGTGGGTGTCAACCAGATCTGAAAGCAAAGCAGTTCCCGTATGTGAACAACAGTAGGCTTGGGGAATGGTGGTCCCAATCTGTCCTGTGGGGCAGGCACCTCATCCCTTTGAGTGAAGTTAAAGAAATAAGGGCTTCAGATCACATATTCATCCACCTTTGCAAGGTTGGTGTCTCTAGGAAAGTTTGAATTTGTGCTTTTTTTTTTTTTTTTTACTTGAGCTGGAGTTTCGCTCTTGTTACCCAGGCTGGAGTGCAATGGTGTGATCTCGGCTCACTGCAGCCTAAAAAACGAGTAGTCAAGTGATCTTTCATTGGCAAGTCTTTTCTATATACTAACGTGTGTGTTTCACTTTATTCGCTTTACTACACCTATATTTTTTTTTAACTTTTAGGTTCAGTGGTACATGTGCAGGTTTCTTATATAGGTAAATTGCATGTCACAGGAGTTTGGCGTACAGATTATTTCACCACCCAGGCAAGAAGCTTAGTACCTGATAGGTAGTGTTTCGATCCTCCCTCCCTCCACCCTTAAGTAGGTCCTGGTGTCTGTTGTTCCCTTCTTTGTGTCCATGTGTACTCAGTGTTTAGCTCCCATTTACAAGTGAGAACATGCGGTATTTGGTTTTCTGTTCCTGCGTTAGTTTGCCTAGGATACTGTTTCCCCTGACCATTTATAGTGGGTGATCATGGGTCTAGTATTCAATAGGATAAATGGGAACCACTCTAACTGTTGAGAATATTTCTCCATCTATGGCAGGAAAAAGCCTATCCAGCCTGGGGGTATTTGCCATTCTAAGGCCCAGTGCAGTGTCCTCTCCCCTGATAGTGTATCTGTCAGTGTCGTCGTGTGCAAAATATGCTGGTTGTCACCCAGGTTTGGGAGCAAAGCAGTCTTCTCAGTTACCCGTATGCAAACAGTGGTAGGCTAGGGTCACGGTGGTCCTAACCAGTCATATGGAGCAAGCATCCCCACTTTGGCTGAAGTTAAATAAATAAAGCCTGCAGATAACACATGCATCCACTCTAGCAAGGTAGGTGATAGGTGATATGGTTTGGATCTATATCTCCACCAAATCTCTTGTCCAATTGTAATCCCCAGTGTTGGAGGTGGGGCCTGGTGGGAGGTGATTGGATCAAGGGGATGGGTTACTCATGAATGGTTTAACCCCACCCCCTTCATGCTGTTCTCACAACAGTGAGTGAGCTCTTATGAGATCTGGTTGCTTAAAAGTGTGTGGCACCTCCTCCCTGTCTCTCTCTTGCTCCTGCTCCTGCCATGTTAGATGCTTGTGCCCCCTTTGCCTTCCACCATGATCAGAAACTTCAGAGGCCTCCCTCAAAGCAGAAGCTGCTATGCTTCCTGTATAGCCTGCAGAACAGTAAGCCAATGAATCCTTTTTCTAGTTACCCAGTCTCAGGTATTTTTTTTTGAGATGGAGTCTCCCTCTGTCGCCTAGGCTGGAGTGCAGTGGTGTGATCTTGGTTCACTGCAAGCTCCACCTCCCGCGTTCAAGAGATTCTCCTGCCTCAGCCTCCTGAGTAGCTGGAATTACAGGTGCACACCACCACAACCAGCTAATTTTTTTTTGTATTTTTAGTAGAGACGGGTTTCACCATGTTAGCCAGGCTGGTCTTGAATACCTGACCTCGTGATCCACCTGTCGCGGCCTCCCAAAGTGCTGGGATTACAGGCGTAAGCCACCATGCCCGACCTGTCTCAGGTATTTCTTTATAGCAATGTGAGAATGGATTAATACCATAGGTTTCCCTAGGAAACTTTTTTTTTTGAGACAGAGTCTTGCTCTGTCACTCAGACTAGAGTGCAGTGGCATGCTCTCAGCTCACTGCAACCTCCGCCTCCCAGGTTCAAGTGATTCTCCTGCCTCAGCCTCCCGAGTAGCTGGGATTACAGGTGCATGCTACCACATCCGGCTAATTTTTGTATTTTTAAATTAGAGATGGGGTTTCGCCATGTTGGCCAGGCTAGTCTCGAATTCCTGACCTCAAGTGATCCTCCCACCTTGGCCTCCCAAAGTGCTGGGATTACAAGCATGAGCCACCGCGCCCGGCCTCCCCAGGAAACTTTGAATTTGTGCTTTCAGAAGACCAGTTTTCCTTTTTGTTAACCCTGATGTTTGGAGGTTACATGGGAGATGAAAGTGCCATGATCTGTTGTATTTCCTGGCCCAGTCCTGGACATCATGTCCAGCAAAATGGATCTTTTGGTTTCTGTCAATGTGTCAAGGATATCCATACATAGTACTGAGAGCCTCTAAACCTTTAATAGTACTGGCTTGATTAGCTCACTTACAAGGACAAACTTACAGCAGTTCAGTAGCAGTATCTACACAGGCCAATACATACTTTTTGTCTTGACTTAGAAAAAGTCAAGATATATATATATATAATATATATATAATATATATATATAATATATATATAATATATATATA